CCGACGTGGGACTCGATCCCAGGACCCTGAGATCATGACCTGAGCCGAAGGCAGCAGCCTAACCCACTGAGCCACCCAGGCGCCCCTAGTCTAGTTTTAAATAGAGACATCATATTGAAAGGAAAAACACGATACCTGTCTCTCCTCTAGATAGCCCAGAGCTTCGTCCATCATTATAGGCACTTAAAGAAAAAAAAATGTATGAAAAATTAGTTTTGAAAACGATTTTCCACACCCCCAAACACATAGTTTACATATGGAAAAAATCTGAATAGTCTAACAAGCTTCTCCCCCAATAGCTTTTCCCATCTGGAAGGGCTGTTTTCTGTTCACATCTGGCTTATGGCTTCTCTAGAATACTTCAGTCCTATGACTTCATGATGTAGACCCTATCCTTTACAGCTACTCTTTGTTTCCCCTCTTATGAACTACAACTAACAACAATGCACTCACTATAGCCCACATCTATTAACCTTCTGGCAAAGACAGTAAAGTCCATACTCTAAGTTTCCTTTTCTTCCCAATGAACCCTTACCCAATAAATGAAATCGGGCTTACACCGTTTTTCTTCATTATATGAAGGCACAACAACAGAGAGCCGTTTGGTAGGTGAGTCCCATATGCTGGGCAATGTTTCCTTCTGTCCTCTGGCATTTAAGAAGAACTTCTCGTCTTCATGTTGATGGAGGTGTGGCATTTTCGTAGCAGTTATAAATGCAACAAAGGAAATCTAAAAGCAGGTATGTTAAACAAGAAATCATGCTATGTTGACTTTTTTTTAGACTTGTTATGTAAGAATACACCATTTACATGATTTTTTTCTTTTTTTTTGGTGGAATATTTGCTTTTTGCTTTTAGTCCATTAACTGGACTGGAGGTGACAACAAAATTCAAATCCCTTACTTATGAACTAATTATTGTCCTTTCTTCCACTGGTAAGGAACTAATGACTTAGGAGACTCCCAATGTCTTCCCACCTGTCATCCCCAGGCTTCTATCATCCCAGATCTAATTGGGAAGTCACTATAGAAATGCAATCTATTTTAAGATGCCCTGAACCCCCAAACCCTGGCGAACACACAGTGAGGTCCCATTCCTACTTGGAGCCTATATGTGCCACAGGATTAAGTTCACAGTGCAGGTGGAATGTATGGAGTGAGGGAAGACCTCCCATGTAGGACTAGACTGATCCAGAATATGTGGGGAAGACCCCTCTATCCCCATAGTAGGGACCAGCAATGCTTAAGAACATATTCTTGACACTTATCCCAGATTTGAATTCAGAAAACATTACTTTTTGAAGTATCAAACTTGTAGGCTCTGGCACCATACACTACTGACATTAGATAGCTCCCTTCTATATTTATTTGTGAACTAGTGTTGGAAATAACCACTCTTTGGAACATTATCTCTACTGGTACCTTTCTCCTTTTAAAACAGTCATAAATTTTTGGAATGCTACTCATTTTTAATGTGGTGACCATTTTTAATATTCCACTGGGTACATACTGAAATTGAATTTGCTCTGATTAGTAGGAACATGGAGGCAGTATCTTGACTAGTGGTTATGAGTTCCTATTCTGCACCCTGGTGTTCAGATTGTGATTTCTAAATTCAGTTTCCTAGTAAAAGGAAGCAGTGCCCTTTGTAAGATGCCAGAGAATTATGTCATTATTTTGAAAACTTGCCTTTTATCTTACCTTTTACATATGAAAGATATTTCAGAGTAATTGAATAGCTGAGAATGAAACTTTTTTCATTATGGAATTTCAGATAATACATAAAAAAGGAATGATACAATTAGAATATTGCACTTCGCAACTCCCAGAGAAATAATGGATTTAGGTTAACAAACTATAGAATTGGTGAGTCAGGCTAACAAAACTCCTGAACCCCTGGATCCATCTTAACACCAGATAAAATCAGATATTATGAGCCTTCTGATATGATACAAGACAAAGTATTCAGCATCAGTCACATACTTTTTTTGATTAAAAAACACAAACATGCATTGGTTAAGTCTCTAAATGTTACTACCAGTTCATAGGAAATTCAGGAGACAGAGTAAGATGTTAAAAGTCACCAATGGGATGAAATCAATAAAACCCAGATTCTGAGAAATTCTACAGGACAAATGACCACTTATTAAAGACAAGGGAAAAAAAAAAAAAACAAAGAAGAAGGACAAAGTGTTACAGATTAAGATAATTGAGACATCAACAGAGTGCTAAGTGTATGTGAATGCTTAATCAAAAAAATGACTATACTAAAACATACATGAGGTATCTGAACTGACAGGACACTTGAAATCACTGAATAATGGTTACAATTTTTTAAGATTCCATTATAACTTTATTATGGTTATATTTAGAAAAGGGGGGGTCTTTAGAGATTAATGCTGCGGGTTTACAGATAGAGTGTTTTGTCTTGGATTTGCTTCAGAATAATTCAGAAAGGAAGCGGGGTGAGGAAGAGTATGTATGGAAAGTGTGGATATATATGAAACCAGGTTTTTTTGTTTGCTTATTTATTTTTTTTATAATGATTTCCTGCTGTGGCTTTTTAAACAAATGAAGTTCCAGTAGCTGTGTGACATTTTCACACATAAGCTCTTCTCTCCAATCAGTCTCATCAAAAGAAGCTAATGATAACACTTGAGAGCGTTCCTTTAAAGATCACATGAGATAACCCTCTGTTAAACACTGAATACAACCCCCAGCATATTATAAATTCTCTATAAATGGTAGCCCTTATAATCACTTCAAGCTAGTGAGATCAAATACTTGCAGTACGCCCTCATAATGCACCCATTTAACTCTGTGCAATAGATAAGATTCAACAAGCAGATTCAATCCAGGTGTCTGTCAAAATTCTGCCCCATCCAAAAAAAAAAAAAAAAAAAAGTGACTTGCCCAATAATCTGAATAACCCCTGAAATCTTCATATACCACTAAGGGAGAGAGAGGACTCCTTTCTCCCCCAGACAAACAGGGCACATTGCTTTTTCTCTATTAAATTGTTTCTACACACTGAGTTTGCAAACCTGGCAAGATGGAAGAATGGCCTTCCTTAGCAGTGCTATCTGGGGGCGAACCTGAAACCTCTCCATGTAGGAACTGGATGGCAGACTCATTCCAAATTATATGGAATATAATTTCTCATAAATGAGAAAGCTCACTCGGCAAACTGTTACTTATGTATGAGAAAGTGTTTACAACGTTTCTATATCCAGAGTAATGGCAAAGAAAATCCTAGTCTGAATTCTCCTTTAGAGGCAGCGAATACAGGGTGTTTAATTTTGGGACATAACGACTCCCAGACATATGGTAACACTAAGCCTGTGTTTCTTGGTCTTACTGTGTCCCTTGGTTGGTCTTCTTGATCCACTGATTTATTCCGATCTGTAACAGATGGCTCTCGTCAATGCTCTGTCACCACCTTCTATCTGCTTAACCACATCAGGAAAAGGATGAGCCCAGGGAGCGCGCACATCCCGGGAGCTCAAAACCTTCCCGGGTGGAACCAGAGCTGCATAGGCTGCAGATCCGGGAGAAGTCGGGGGTGACAGGGCGGGTGGACAGAGGTCCGGGGACCAAGGGACGAGTAGAGACTGGGCGAGCACGTCCCACAGTGAACAAAAGTACAAGGTTCTGGGCACAGAGGGAGGTAAAGCTCCAAAATAAAAATAAAGAAGGGAAGAAAGGGGGTGTGGAATTCTAGGAGAGAAAATCCTGGGGTCAAGGCTTGGGAGAAGCGTGGTGAAAAGGGACACGTCGAAGAGTGAGTGGGCTGTGCAGAGGAGAGGATGCGTTGCGGCCGAGTCTCCTAGACAGCAGGGAGCCTAGGCCCGCGTCGGTCCCCCATCCCTCTCCTCACCAGTATCAGGGCTGCGGCCGCCAGCGCCACGCCGAGCACCGCCAGCTGCAGCAGGAGCGAACTCATCCTCCATGCCCTGGTCGCCGCCCTACCCTACCCAGCACATACACACACGCGGAAGCTCGGCCGCTCCGCCCCGCCTTCCGCCCGCAGAGGGACCTCTCCAGCCCGGCGCCCGCCGCCCACAGCGCCCCTCGCGGCAAGGAGACAAACACGCAGCTCTTCGGAGCGAGGCTCTGCGGTGGAAAGGCAGGCCCGGCGTTCCACTGCAGGGTTGACAGAATCGGCAAGTAAAAATACAGAATGTCCACTTAATTTGAATTTTAGGTAAGCAATGAACAGTTTTTTGACAGCCTTGTTAAAATAGAATTTACACACCATACAACCCACCCATTCAAAAGGTTTTGGTATATTACACGAGTTTTTAAAAAGTGTGATACAACAATAAATTTGCCATTTTAACCTAAATGTACAATACATAGTGGTACTAATTACTTTCACAATTTTCTGCACCCATCACCATTATCTAATTCTAAAACATTCTTCACTGTCCCCAGCCCCTGGTAATAACTAATAACATGTACTATTTGGCATATACTCATAGAAAAAAAAAATTCTTTGTTTATTTGACATTCAAATTTAATTGGATGTCTTGTACTGTGGCAACCCTACCTAGGAGGGAGGTGGAGGCTCTGAGCCACAGCACAGCCTACAACACAAGGCGCTCCTTTGGAGCCCGCTCCGGGGACCTGGCAAAGTGTAACTTGGTGCGGATAATGAGCGCACAAAAAGTTTACATAATTCTCCAGTAACTTGGAAGGAGAAGCCCAGGGCCCAGCCCAAGACGGAGGCGGGAAGGGACGCAGAAACTGAAATAATGCTCCCACACTCAATACTCAAATCTAGGAAATAAGGTCAGTTTTCTCTTAAACCCTTGAACCACCAGAGTGTTTCTAAAGAGACACACTCGTCTCTTTCATAAGAGCAGATTCGTCAAAAACGCATCCAAAGCAAAGAAGCCTGGAGGTGTGCGGAGCTAGAAACCACCGGAGCAAAGGTGGGCCAGAAACCACCTTCCCCACGCCCAGCCCCCTGCATCTGAGGCAAGCGGGCGAAGAGCGCAGGCGTCCCTGCCGAATGTTTGGGGGCGGTGTAGACCCGCGGCCCCGAGGCCCAGAGTCGCCCGGCGCAGGCGCACGCGTACGGGCGGGAAGATGGCGGCCGGGTTCAAGTGAGTGTTGGCGGCCGGCGGGCGCGTGTTTGTGCCCCGGCGGTTGGAGGTTTCCTTTAACCCTTCGCTGGGATATTTTTCACCTGGAGGCCACCCTGCTAGATTCCCATTTCTTTCCCTCACGGAAGTAGGCGACGGGCGGAAGGACCTGGAGGTGGTCGTTGTGAAAGGAAAGGGGGCTTTTTCTCTGCAGTGAGACGGGAGATGGAAGGGACTGTGTACAGAGTTCAGTACCCGCGGCAAGCGCTTGTGGCTTGGTGTAGTGGATGTGCGGCCCCAGGGGACACCGCTGTAATCTTTTTTAAAATGTTCTTTCAGAACCACATGCCACCCTGTGCTTCGTTTCCTCCGTGGTTTATTTCTAAAAGGATTGTGCCTTGTTCGGAAGGTTTTACTTAAGCCTTTTTTTGTGCCACGCTGGTGAAGCCTGTAGATTTTTGTCCTCAGAGTTAAGTTTTTAAATGGATAAAATACATAAGATTCCAAAGGAAAACCAATGTATTGATGCAGCTATCTTCTATTTGTATAAATTCCTAGTTCTTGATATAGTGATATATACGTGCTTTTTAAAAATGAACATTCTTAAACAAGTTCTACTGGGGAGTCTAGTAACTCCTGGAATTCCAAAGTTTGCACATAAGCTTCGACTACTATAAAGTAAAAACGAAAACATTTAATCTCTGTGGTTAAATTTGCAGGTACTAATATATTATAAAGGCTTATTGCCTGCAGTCAAAATTGGAGGATATGCTAAATTTCAGTTACAGGATAGTGAAAATAAAGATGTAATTTTTAAATGTTAAGAATCCCTGCTTCAGAGCGAAAGTGACATTATTTTAACAACTGGATTAATTCTTTTGAAGATGCCTGAAGGCTTTGGGCTCCAACCTGTAACTGTAAAATAGAGTTAAGGACAGCAGTTGGGTGTGATTACTACTGCAAGAGTACTTCTTTTTAATAGTTACATGTGGCAACAAAACATCAGAATTCATGAAAGAAACTTCGTAACAAATTGGGAAGATTTATGCTGCATCATCACACTCCTAAAATCTTTGCCATTTTCTGGATTTATGTTAAGATTCATTAACTTACCTCAGATATATTTTTAACATGTTTCAGAACTGTGGAACCTCTGGAGTATTACAGGAGATTTTTGGTAAGTAAAGATGGTTATGTACAGCTTGTACCTTTTGATAACAGTATCCTATGCTTCTTTTCAAATTATGTGAATTAATGAGGTTTATTGTGTTTTCCCTGGTGTGTATAAAATACATAGATGTAATTTACTTTATGCAAATTTATTTATTTAGAAAGAGAACTGCCGTCCTGATGGAAGAGAACTTGGTGAATTCAGAACCACAACTGTCAACATAGGTGAGGATTTTTTTTTTTTTTTAAGATTTTATTTATTGATTTGACAGAGAGAGATCACAAGTAGACAGAGAGGCAGGCAGAGAGAGAGAGAGAGAGAGAGAGAGAGGAAGCAGGCTCCCTGCTGAGCAGAGAGCCCGATGCGGGGCTCGATCCCAGGACCCTGAGATCGTGACCTGAGCTGAAGGCAGCGGCTTAACCCACTGAGCCACCCAGGCGCCCCGTTGAGGATACTTTGAATTCTGCAATAGAATGATGTTGCTTCAGACTTTTTTTTAATGTATTTTTGTGATGTTTTTTAAACTCACTATTGTTTCAATCTTTAAATTTTGAAGTGACTGTAAAGTGTTTTCCCCCCTTTCTTCCTTCAAAACCTCCAAGACATGGTTTTCTTGTATTTTACACTTAACTTTCTGTTGTGAACATGGAATTTTCCAGTTTAACCTGTATGACATTCTTGAGTTTTAGACTGATCATTTAAACAATATTTGAGCCAAATTCTACCATATATAAGGAAACCCAGTGATTCTGTGTTAAGAGATCTTTATCTGCAGAACAGTTCTATGACCGAATGAAAATGATTAACTCAAATTCAAGAACAGGTGAATAATTCCTAAAACACTAGTACTTTAAAATAGTCACATCATTTAAAAAAGACTTGAGCTAGGAATAAATTTACACAAGCAACTGAGATACATAGCAGGATAAAATTATATGTAGAAAATGAACACTTTCCATGGACTTTTTTATTATCTTTCCAGGTTCAATTAGTACTGCAGATGGTTCTGCTTTAGTGAAGCTGGGAAATACTACAGTAATTTGTGGAATTAAGGCGGTAGGTTTAATATGTCTTACTGAGATTTGAATTACCAAATTAGCTTCAAGTTGTTATTAGATTGTAATTTTTACACCTATATTTCTGTTGACTAGGCAGTTTTTTAGTATGTTTCATTTCCTAAGAGCTTTCATCTTTAAGTAGATTAATACTCAAAGTAGATTAAAAATGACCCAAGTCCAGTGACTTAATTTATGAACGTGCATCAGATAGGCTGAAATGAAACCGTTTTAAAAATCCTACCTTTAATTCTTTAAGAATTTGATTGTTATTGAGATTTTTGGTGACATCCTTTTATCCAGTGATAGCATTTAATCTGTGCAAATGATGTAGAAAATTGAGCCTACTCCAAAGAAAGCTTGAGGGAGTAAGAAGAGCCACTGTTTACTGAATACCTTTTATGTACCAGGTAGCTTAAATTAGGTGCTTTAATACAGAATTACCAGTTTAATCATGAGAACAGTCATTTGAAGAATAATTTCTGTCTTCTGTTTTACATGAGGTTCAGTAACTTATCCAGGAACAGAACTAGAACTGTAACTTTGACTCCAGAGGTTGTGCTTTTTTCACTGTGTTGCACTGTGAATTACTTAACCTTCAGATTTTTCCTCAGGGTGATAAAGCTGGGGTGGTATCTAACAGTATGATCTGAGCACTTAATTGTTGCTAGCTTTTATGCTGGGGACATAACATTATCTCATTTGACCCTCATTGAGAATCCCTAAAAGTAGGTCATTATTAACTTCTCATTTTTCACATGAGAAAGTTGAATGGTAAGAGGTTATACAATTTGACTAAAATCCCTCAGCCAAAAAGTATGGGTCTGACATTTGAACCAGTTGAGTCGCAGGCTTTTGCTCTTAATCACTTTATCACTTCCCATATTTGGCTGTGTAAGGGATCACTTTGGGTTTAAATTTAGATTCTTTGCTACTAAATGAGAGAAAGAAAACAGATTTTTTTTTTTTTTTTAAAGAGCCCCATTTAATTTTGGTTAGTAGCACTAGAATCTAGTGCTAAGCTATGCTGCCTTTTTAATCTTGCAGACCTAATATGAGGATTTGTGACAATGTCCATATAGCCTGATAGGACTCCCTAATAAGCATAGTAGATGGTCTTGATGTAGTTAACTAGCTAAGATGGTCTTTGCTGAAGGTTTTTATAACTGATTGCTGTCTTCACAATTATTAAGTAGCTTTTTTCATAGGAAGTATTTGCTTCTTTAGGAATTTGCAGCACCACCAACAGATGGCCCTGATAAAGGATATGTTGGTAAGTTAAATGGTTTTGTAATTTTAATACAAAAACTTAACACATTTAATGGTAATATTGTAGGTCAGTCCTAGTAGCTGAATTGAAGATAATAGAGAAGATTCAGAAATATATAGGAATGAGACTTTTCAGACAGTCCTGAAAAGTTTAATTAGAAGATAGCCTAATAGCAAGATACAAAATTTTTGTAAAATTTTCAGCTTTGCATATTCAGATGTCATCAACCAAGAAAGTAGAATCTCTTAGGAAAGGGTCGTAATTGCAAACTTTTTATGTTCCCATAAGTATTCGTCATTTATACCACTATGCAACTTTATTCTTGCCTTGGACCATCTCTTCTTTATGGTAGGTACCAACATTTTAAAAATGCAGGCACTTGGGTATGAATGTAGAGGCTATCTGCTGTTACAGAATGAGGTATTTTGGAAGAAATCTTATTTTTCGGAAGGATTTAGGATTGAAGCCTTCCTTAACATCCTTTTATATTTTTGGTATTTGTGTTGGGGCAAAAAAAAAGTTGGAAGTAGATTTTATCTAAGTCTGAGAGTATTAAAAAGATAAAAAAAATAACTGATGTGTTATGTTTTCCACTTGGCAAATTTATCTATGGCTATAGTCACATTTGCAGTGGATCGAGAATAGCTTTAACACTTCCATAAACCAGAGATGAAGTTTAGTTCATAGCTCCAGAGTGTTTCTTTCAGTTCCTAATGTGGATCTACCACCTCTGTGTTCATCGAGATTTCGGTCTGGACCTCCTGGAGAAGAGGCCCAAGTGGCTAGCCAGTTCATTGCAGATGTCATTGAAAAGTAAGATCATTCTGAACATTTGACTGTCCTTCATTTTCAGATGTTTTTTGACCTTTCATTTATTGTGCTTATTATTAAATCCAAGTTCACAGATAATTCAGAAAGAAGACTTATGCATTTCTCCCGGAAAGGTAAGATGAATAAAAAAGCTATAAGGTTTTATTAATTCTGAATTGTTTTTAGGGAAAGAACAGGGAAATTAAAATAATAAGCCAGTGGCCTTAAATATGAATGTCCTAAGATGGAATTTGGTTAGCTTACTCTGTAACTATCTAAATAAACCATGTAGTTCTTAAAAAAAAAAAAAAAAAGTTTTGAGTAATTTATTACCTAACTGGGGGCTACTTTTTAAGCTGAGATAACTTTTTTTCCCTTTGGCAACAAATAGTTCAGTCACTTGTTTATTCCATATAGATTAGTATCTGATCAGCTGATGTGTTTAGAGTAAATCTACACTATACATTTCAAGTCTTAATTTCAAGTCTAAGACTTAGAACAAAACTGACTAGGACTTAGAGGCTTTTCCTATTCAATTATAAACAGACTTATTAGCATTGTAAAGCCTAGCCATTTCATATATTAATGTTTCTGGGGGAAAGTATGTTTTGGACTTCATTTAGGACTTCCGAAAGCATTTCTTTTATATGGTAACTTAGCAGCAAAAACAGAAATTCTTCCTACCATCTGTAGCTTTCAGTGGAAATCTAGATGTTACTTGTCAGTTCAGTAGTTAAAAGCCAATTTTTTTTTTTTAAACCAAACCTGTCTACTTTGTTGGTAATATACTTTGTAGAGTTTGTTTTTATTTTTAAGTTTTTGAGCCTTAAAGGTTATCATGCTTGTCTAACCAAGGATTCTGTGGTTTGTAAGTTAAAACAAATACCATGTTCTACCCCCACTTTGTATAAATTCTGTTTTAGCTTTCTTGGGTTCTGTACTGTGATATCATTTGCCTCGACTATGATGGGAACATCTTGGATGCCTGTACATTTGCTTTGTTAGCAGCCTTAAAAAATGGTAAGCAACCTTAATAAAAGGCACAATTCCTTCTTGGTTTCAGAATATTATTTTGTTAAACTATTATCAGTAAACTTTTTAAAGTTTTTGTTAATGTTTAGCGATTCATCATTCACGAGAAACCATGTTTATATCCACTAAATTTACCTTAATTATCCTAATTAAAAAAATACTTCTGTTTTTAAGGAGGGAAGAGTGAATAAAGCATAGAAACCTGTATTTGTTAGAGTGAGAGACTTACTTCATGTATTTGCCTTTTTCTAGTACAGCTGCCAGAAGTTACTATAAATGAAGAAACTGGTTTAGCAGAAGTTAATTTAAAGAAGAAAAGTTATTTGAATATTAGAACTCATCCAGTTGCAACTTCCTTTGCTATATTTGATGAGTAAGTTAATCAGATGTATAAAATATTATGTAATTAAGGTAATGGATTGTTACTCAGCATTCTGACTTTTTAGGAAATAACCTAAGGTGACCATACATTCTAGTTTGCCCTGAACATCTAGGTTTATAACTGTTGTCCCTGCAGAATTATTATTAGCTTTGCCTTATACTTTCAAAACCATCCTGATTTGATTAATCTTGTGTTCTCCCTGTTTCTTGGTTTTCTTATTACTGTGTAATGTTAATCTTCTTAATTCTTTCATAGAAGATTTACCTTAGACTACCTTCTGTATTTGTGAAGGACTTTATTAGTATATTTATAAATTGAAAAGTAAAGATTCTTACATGTAGTATAATGTTAGGTTGCTATTAACATTTCTGGTTTCCCACCAGGTCTATTTCAGTGCTTAAATCAGACATCAGTACCTAAGCTAAAAGGCTGGAAGTTCATTTTATTCTTTGTATATAAAATTTGTTCTGTGGATCAATAATTTATATTTTTCTTGTATTTTAAATAGCACTCTGCTCATAGTTGACCCTACTGGAGAGGAGGAACATCTGGCAACTGGAACCTTAACAGTAGTAATGGATGAGGAAGGCAAGCTATGTTGTCTTCACAAACCAGGCATGTTCCTTCCATTTCAAACCTAAACATGTAAAATAAAAAGTCAGTGTGAGCTTCTCTGTATTAGGGGGCACCAAATGGAATGTGAGAGGTTTTATTTTTTACTGCAGTTTCTTTGTTATCTCAAATTCCTTAATCTATTTTTGTCTGTCAGTGGTTCTTAAAACTTGTATGCATCAGAATCACTTGCAATTCTTGTTAAAACACAATCTGCAAATCTTGGAACAGTCTCACTGGCTTAACATTATTGAATTTTTTGTCTTAATACTTGATGTTGATATTTTTCAACATCAAATGATGTATATGATGTAAAATGATAGACACTGAAAGTGTTGTTACAATAATTTTTCAGGTGGAAGTGGGCTGACTGGAGCTAAACTTCAGGACTGTATGAGTCGAGCAGTTACCAGACACAAAGAAGTAAAAAAACTGATGGATGAAGTAATTAAGAGTATGAAACCCAAATAAACCACCACCACATTTCCAAAACAGATTTGTAAAAACTGTATTTGTTACACTGTGCACAAACCTTTTATACTAAATAAATATCAAACTACATTCTTCAGAAAGATGTTTCTAGTATTTCTTAGGTCACTTCCGTATGTAGTATGTACAGTGAAACCATTTGTAAAAAGCAATGACTTAGGCAAACCAACCCTAATGGCTCGTTAAACCATTCCCGTTTTTAATTAAAAATCATAGGGTTGTGCTTCTGTATAAAGTTTGTACATCTAGCAATGTAAAATACTGACACATTTGAATAAACAAAACCAAAAATGGAAGTAGAAACTCAGAATCCTTTGATTCAATGCTCTTATGGTTTTAAAAAAGAGAGAGAGAGAGAGAGAAAAGAAAAGCGAGACTCAGAATTTTGGAGTGGTTGGTGTGCCTCTCTTCATTTTACTTTTTGACTGGCTGCCTGTATGCCGATGACGATGTAGCTGAGCTGTTTGTGCTGCTGCTGCTGCCATAGCCATTTGATGCTGTAAGAATCGCAACTGCTGCAAAAGGGAGGGGAAAAAAAAGTCAAGTTACGTTAAATGCAGGCAGGTATGGAAAGGTGCTTTTCCTGAGAGATGAAAACAACAAAACTGAAAGGGAGAAAGCACCAAGATAACAAAAAGGGACTATACCACAATGAGACAATGCACAGTCAAACAGCACCAGTGGCACAGAAGCCTGCTGAGGGCTTTAAAAATGGGTTCTTGGTAAACTTCAAAAATATTTCTGTTACTTTGCCCTGCCAGTCTTTATTGTAGTAACTCAGCAACTTCAGTTACTATTTTGTTTTATGATAGTTTATAGCAATATAAAACCACCCTGCATTATCAGAGATAGTCAACTATAATATGCGAACTTCCTACAATCACGGAGTAACATTTTTCTTAAACAGGTATGACATTTACTAATAGGAACACTGGTATACTTGCCTTTTTCTGCAGTACAATATAAAAAAGTTAACCATTGGCACTTACAAATGTCTGTTTCAAAAAATACTGCAAACTACAAAATGTATGTTGATGTGCCACCAGCACTTCATGAAAGATTTTGACTCAGGAAGAGTATGGCTTAAATGTACAAGATATGTTCAGTGCTCCAAGTTGACTGGCTAAAATGTCAGACTTTTAAGTAAAATTTGCTAAATTATTTACCTACTACTGTATAGTCTTAAAAGACAGTAAAATAAAACTAGAGTAAGGTATGTTGAAGTACTTTGGAGCAGAATATCTTTAAAATGTAATCAGAGTGAAGTTGCTGGATTACTTGTATCTGTTGCTGCTGCTGTTGAAAGGCAGAGGAGAGCTGGAATCTCTGCTGAGGAAGGCTTTGCTCAGGTCTGTTCTCGGCAGAGCCAAGCTGAGACAACACTACAGAGAGGAGAAGGGGAAAGCAGGCCAGTCAAAAAGTTTGAAGGCTACCAGGGTTAGAAAAGGACAACACAGAAAATGAAATTATAGAAAAGTTATCAGTATGATTAATCTTAAGTATCAAATCACAGACATTTGAGAATAAATTTAGTACAGTCTCCTGTTAGTTGAGGGTACCACTGATTATAGAACCTCCTGGATATGAAAGGGAAGGAAGTACCTGTGTGCCAAAGCACTATATCCCTTTCCCTGCATCCCAATGAAATTTGATACTAGTGCTATTTTGTTGAGAAGGCTTTCTTGCAAAAACGTAAAATACAGTATGTTGTTTTAAAATCTAATCAATGAAGTAGGAAAGGAGTGGGAGAAGTCCAATCTACCATAATGATAAAACTGGTGGATAAGAGCTTTAAACAAAAGATGCTGCAATCAGTTTCAGTCTACATTACTAGCCAACAACGGTGCTGAACCAAGACTGCAATATTTTCTTTCTTTTCAAGTTGAGGGGTGGGGTGGGCAGAGTAATCAGTTTAACCCCCCTCAATGTACAGATGAAAAAACCCCAGGTCAAGATGGTCTAAGTGACTCACTCAAAAGTAATTACTGACAGGTCTAGAGCTAGAAATGTTCTCATGATTTTTCAGCCTAGAATTCTTTCCACTAAAATATACAACAGCCATTTTAGGAGATTTATAACTTGGGTGGTAAAGGTTTATGATCACAAATTTCCATCTGGAAATTCACAAGCTCAAAATAGGGCATTATGTAAGATCCTACTTATTCTAAATTCAGACACTGGGAGTTGTAGAGATAGGACAGTTAAGCCCAGTGATAATTCAAAATGTTGACATGTTTGTTCACTCAATCCTCAAACTCCATCATAGCTTACTTATACATATGGCTTAGTAACTTAAATTAAATGTAAAGTTATAATTACTGTCATTAAGTGACAAGGTATCTTCATTAAAGGTAAATCTTTGGTTCACCATTTACTGCTAGAAGTGGTGAACAGTCATTTTAGTATAATCTCATTTTTTTAAACAAATGATAAAAGTGGCTTATAAAACTTATGCTGACCATTAAGTCTTGATTCATGTAATTTGCAAGCTACCAGAATGAGACCAAAGATTATGCAATCAAGAACAATGCAGTCTCAGTAACCCAGGAGAACTGAAGATTAAACAGTTTTGGTAGTTTCCTAGTAAGTTAGCTTCCTAGTAAGTTGGATAATTGTATAAAATTTTACCAACTGTAATGTGAGGAAACTCCAACTGCTATTAATATATGTAGGTAAAAACACTTTTAATCAACTGTCATATTAACAAAAAAAACTGAGAGCACCATCAATCAACTTAGTTCATGCATTAAATAGAACCGTATTTTTTCCGCCATTACTGCTTGTAAGAGAAGGAAAAGAAATAATTAAAATATTCAGATCCCTATGTGACCAGTTATTTTTAGTAAATTCAACATATAAAGGTATAAAGATACCAACCAGCTGCCTGTGACTGCATGAAACTTCCTACTCCAGCAAGGTTAATAACAGCAGCGTGCTGAGCAGATAAAGCCTGTTCTTGACTGGTTGAACCTTGTTCAGAACCCTGAATAAAAAAATAATACGTGATTGTACAAAAAGAAAAACAATTTTGAGTTGGTGAAATTTTTTTTCCCCCGATAAGGTGAAAAATACCAACATTAGGTCTTGTAAAAAGAGTACCAAAGTGTTCACAGACTGGCAATTCACATAGTAAAGATGGTACAGTCACTTTCAAACTGACCTACATGTTCAACTCAATTCCTTTAAAAATCCCAACACGTTCTTTTTTTCTCTATCTATAGACAAGAGAATTCTAAAATTTAGATGGGGGGAAAAAAAAAAGATCTAGAAAAGCAGTTTTGAAAAATAAAATGGGAGGAACCACACTGCCTGATTTTAAGACTTACTATATAGTCTATACTAATCAAGACAGTGTGGTACCAACACAGGGATAGATAGATAGATAGATGGAAGAGAATAGAGAACACAGAGAGCCATGAAAATATTATCTTAACACAAAGGTGCAAAGGTAATTCAAATGACTAAGGATAGCTTTTTCAACAACTAGTAGTGTAGCAATTGAACAATGATCCCTTTCACCCTCTAACCTGAATCTTACACCTTATACAAAAATTAACTGGAATGAGATCACAGATGTAAATGAAAAGCCACAGAACTGTTAGAAAACAACAAGGAGAAAATCTCTGGGCCACAGGGCTAGGTGAGGCATTCCTAACACATAAGGCATGATAAACTGATAACTCAGACTTCATCAAAACTAAAAACATTTGCTCTGAAAAAGACAACCTTTGCTACAACCTACAACTGTGATTGAAATAACATTTTAGTAAATAACATTAAGTCAAACATTTCAAAAGTTACAAGACATTTATCTTGAGAGGATTTACCTGGATATTGATTTAAAAAAGGAGCAAAAGAACCTTAGCAGACATTTCTCCAAATAAGATATATGAACAACCAGCAAGTATATGAAAAGATGTTAAAAAACATTAATCATCAGGGAAACACAAATCACAATGAGCTATTACCTTACATTTATGAGGATGGTTAGTTACTATTAAAAAAGAGCCCCCGGAAAATAACAAGTGTCAAAACTTGTGAGAATATGGAGAAACAGAAACCCTTGTGCACTGCTGGGGAGAATGTAAAACAGTACAGTCATATGGAACAGTATGCAGGTCCCTCAAAAAATTAAAAATCCCACTCCTGAGTATTATCCAAAAGAACTGAAAAGCAGGGACTTAAAGAAAAAAAAAAAAAAAAGGCAGGGACTTAGCTGTTTGTACACCCATGTTCACAGCAGCATCATTCCCCACAGCCAAAAGATGGAAGCAATCTAAATTGTCTATTTAAAGATGAATAAATAAACAAAATGTGGTATATACATACAATGGAATATTATTCAGCCTTTAAGGAAATTTTGACACACATATACAATATGGAATAACATTGAGCACATTATGCTAAGTGAAGTAAACCAGTCACAGAAAGACAAATACTGTCTAGAGTAGTCAAATGCAGAGAAAACAGGAGAATGACAGTTGTCAGGGCTAGTAGGAGAGGGAAATAGGAAATTATTATTTAATGGGTACAGAGTTTCAATTTTGCAAGAGGGAAATGCTGTAGAAACTGGTCGCCTAACAATATGAATATACTTAACATGCATATTTAAAATGATGAAAATGGCAAATTATATATTATGTGTATTTTACTGAAGATGGCAAATTATTACATGTATTTTACCACAATTAAAAAAAAGTGCAAATCAATTTTATATCTAGCCAAGTAATCCTTCATGTGTTAAAGAATAATGAAAAATTGTTTTGAATGTGTCCTTCCTGAGAATCTACTAGAGGATGAGCTTAACCCAGCCAAGACTGAACTGGGGAATCTTTGTGAACTAAGAGAGACTCTGGGGGTGATGGGACCCAAGAATCAGTACTTTTAGTTCCCTAAGGATTCCAAAGTGTAGTGAGGGTTCACAAAAACTTGTAGTTCCTTCTCCTTTAATTTACTGCAGTTCTTACTCAATTTCGTTCTGTTTAACAATATACAAATATTTATTTAAGTCTATCTTCCCTTTGCCCTAAGCTTCATGATAACATGGACATTTCTATTCCAACAGAGACAAA